GGCGGCCGCAAGGCCGGCCGCCGCCGCGCGGCGCGGCGCCGAGGGCCCCGGGGCCGGAGGCCTCCCGAGGCCCGCGCCCATGGGCGCGGGGCCGGCCTCCCGGGGCCGAAAGCCTCCCGGGGCCGGCGCCGAGGGCCCCCCGGGGGCCGAAGGCCTCCCTCCCGAGGGGGCGGCCGCGCCAGGGGGCGGTCTCTTGGCGCCGCCAAGATGGCCACGGAGGCGCTCGGCCTCAAGATGCTGCCTCTCGAGAGGCGGGCAGCGAGAGCAGCGCGCACGCGAGCGTCGAAGGCGCCCGCTAATGGGGCCCTGGGGAGACGCGGGGGAGGGGGAGGGAGGGGGACGGGGACGAGGAGATGGAGGAGGGAGGCGCAGGGGGAAGAGCAGGATGCGGTGGAGGATGCATCTTGGCCATCATCAGGAAGACGAGGCGCAACAAGAAGGAAGAATCTGATTGGAGGCGCCTGTCTCGCCCCAGGCCCGGGCCCCCTGAGCATCCCCGATGGAAGGCCCACGCGCACACCAGCCAAGCGACGAAGCGGCGGGGAGCGGACTCGCCGCGACGTGCCACAGCCTGCTGCACCACGCTGCGCGCGACTCGCCGCGAAGTGCCACGGCCTGCTGCACCACGCTGCGCGCCGCTGAGTGGGGCGCGGTTGTGGTCAGGATCGATCAACATCGAATCGGGAAATCGGATGGACTCGGAATGTGGGTCGGATCGGGCTGCATCGGCACATATTCGAAGTCGAATCGAATCGGATCGGCCGCGCCAAGATGCACAACAACGCCGTGCAAACATCGGGCCGCATGGGTCAGTGGGGATATAGGAATCGAATCGGATCGGGTCAGCCAAAATCGATATCGAATCAGGTTGACGGGATCGAAAAGGACCTGCGTGGTCCCAGAGAAGGAAGCAACGCCATCACAACTTTCGAGGGTTTACAATGACATCCGACAATTTATGATAATGTCATGACAATGTTCACGCGTCGAGTGGCTGGCAAGGCCAATAACTCTCGGCACCTCCTTCGATTCTTCGTGAGACACAGCGGGCTCTCGGGCAGCATCGCCTCGTGACATAATCGGCACCTTCAAAGACGGGGTAGACGGGGTCGTGCGGATCTGGTCGCCACGATTGGATGCTAGAGCGCAGGTTTCGGAGTCAAACGCCACATGCAGCGCATGGTCCATCAATCAAATTGGCGGCTGACCTGCTGGATAAATGATTGTTTTGGTGGCCGCTCGCTTGGTCGACATCAGAAACCGTCGTGGCCTGCTGCGGTTCTGTTTTGTCGAATTGCGCAATATTCGATGTATGAGCTCATGCTCCAGGTCCGGTCGTGCGTGCTAGAAAACGTTTAAGGCATCGTGCGCGCGACGCCCGACCACCTTTTTGTTGTAGGGCCGAGTCCAACGGACCTCGTAGCTTTCGGAGCCTCTGGGACCGTGTGCAAGTAGCGAAGAACAGACGAGCGTGAAATCGCAGATCGTGCGGGTCAGGATTGGGCTCCCATGATCGTGCGTTGCCGTCGTTGGTGTCGTGCAGACATGGGCCTCTGCGGCAGGCGAGGAGCCGTGCTGCGTCGCTCGGAACAACAATGGCAGGGCGCCTTGCTGCGTGAGGAGGAGGTTTATGAACATGATGATGATGACAGTGGTACTAAGAGGAAACGGAACAACTACAAAAGAATAAGGCCTCCGAGGCTTGCAATGCAGCGTCAAATGGCGCCAGCTCCCTTTCACAGAGCGCTCCGAGACCGCCGCGCGCGGCGGGAGTAAAGAAGAGAAGCAGGAGGACGTGGAGCAGCAGCATTGGCATAATCGCCCTGGCCATCACGAAGAAAAGGCCTGCTCGTCCTTCTCCCCAACCTGCTCGTGGGACGCCACCCCACTCGTGTTGTACAAACAGCCATGACACTCCGGAGGGAGAAGTGAAATGAGAGAGACTCGACGGTGGGTTGTTTCCTCTACCGTCTCGTCCTGGCTCATGTTCGTTTGCTTCGTCCTCATTCCCACCTCCTCTTCCCTTCACCATCCCTTCTAATCCAAGACTCTTCCCCAGAATAATCCTCTGTTTCTTCCCGCCGAATCTTCTGTCCGACTCCCCCTCTTCCTTCGCTTCTCGGGCTGCTGATCCTCCGTCTCCACCTCCTTCTCCCCCGCCTCCCCCTCCTGGCATCCACCCCCTTCCCTCCCTGCGTCCCTCCCCTCCTCTCCTCTGTCTCCTCGTCATCGTCGTCTTCTCCATCTCCTCTCCTCTCCTCGCCTGCTCTCCTCCCTCTCCTCTCCTCTCCTCTCCTCTCCTCTCCTCTCCTCTCCTCTCCTCTCCTCTCCTCTGCCTCCTCGCAATCGTCGTCGTCGTCGTCTGCCTCCTCTCCTCTCCCTCTCCTCCTCTCCTCTGCCTCCCTCCGTCCCTCTCCTCCTCTCCTCTGCCTCCTCGCCAGTCTCTTCCTTCGTCGTCGTCGTCGTTGTCGTCGTCGTCGTACTCCTCCTCCTCCTCCTCCTCCTCCTCCACCTCCTCCTCCTCCTCCATCCTCCTCCTCCTCCTCCTCCTCCTCCATCCTCCTCCTCCTCCTCCTCCTCCCCTCCTCCTTCATTTCCTCCTCCTCCTCCTCCTCTCTCCTCCTCCTCCTCCTCCTCCTCCCCTCCTCCTCCTCCCCCCCTCCTCCCCTCCTGCTCCTCCTCCTCCTCCTCCTCCCCCTCCCCCTCCCCCGCAATAGGCCACCCCCGCTACCCCCCGCAGGCCGCCGCCTCGCTGCCACGTGTAGAAGTTGCGCCGCAGGCAGGCGTCGTTGTCCAGCGCCTCCGACGGCGCGCGCGCAGCTTTGCAGCATCCCCCTGGGATTAGGAGCCCACTCGCTTATTGCAGGTTCCATAAGTCCTCCTCCCTCCTCCTCCTCCTCCTCCTCCTCCTCCTCCTCCTCTCCTCCTCCTGCTCCTCCTCCTCCTCCTCCTCCTCCTCCTCTCCATCCTCCTCCCACCTCCCTCCTCCTCCTCCTCCTCCCTCCCCTCCTCCTCCTCCTCCTCCTCCTCCTCCTCCTCCTCCTTTTCCTCCTCCTCCTCCTCCTCCTCTTCCTCCTCCCCTCCCTCGCGAGCGTATGCCTCCTGCAGCGCGGAGGGGGCCTGCGACCCGGAGCGCTCACCACACTGATCAGGCAACGTGCAGGCGCCTGCCTTCGGTTCGAGGGGCACGCGCCTCGAGGCCTCGAGGCCACGAGGCCTCGGCCACGGGCCTCGAGGGCCTCGAGGCCCGTGGCCGGCCGCCAGCGGGGCGGCTCCGAGCGGCCTCGAGCTGCCCCAGAGGAAGTCGGATGACAGCCACATCGCGCAGCAAAAGGTCGACCGGCGAACCGGGCACGACGCACAGGCCGACCTGCAACAAGAAAGCCCGTGCCATGAACCTGCGGGCAATAGTTCTATCCATATCCAGTGCGTCTTGGATTTTCTTGGAAGGGGCATCGCAAGGCCGCAGCGCACTGGATATGGACAAACATCGAGCCTCTATAGGGGCCAGATTCGTATCCATATCCAGTGCGCCTCGAGGTTCTGGGGAAGGGAACCCAAAACTCCAACCTGCAGAGGATATGGACGCAAGTCTTGCCCGCAGAACCGTGGCCGGAATCAACAACTCGACAACGCGAGCGGGACGCTCCTCCGAACGCCATGGCACATTCGCATAAAGGGGGGCCCTACAACCAATTGCTCGGAGGCGCGCCCGGGGGGGGGGGGTGGGGCGGGCCGGGGAGGCCGGAAGGGGGAGGAAGCGAAGATGGCGCTGTGGTCTAAAAAGGATATGGATGTGTCGATTCGGGTGTGTTCCTCGATGTCGGCCAGCGGGGTTCGTTATCGGGCCCCCGCGCATTCAAGAATGGGCCCAAAACGAACAACTGGGCCCAGGAAGGGCCCGTGTCGGGACCTCTGGGGCCGCGATTGGAACAGGTCACAGCGTCGGATGTCTGGGACTGGCGCGCCATGAGGCGTTCGACGTGTCACGGGGGAAGAGAACCAGAGAGATAGAGAGTGAGAGGGAGAGAGAGAGAGAGAGAGGAGGAACAGGCATCACGGATCTCTGTAAGCAACTGAAGCAACACATACCTGAAAGGCTGTTCCCGCAGAGTGGTCATGACCGAATTATTTCCTGGGGCGTCGCCCGCCCAGCCAAAGGTGGAGGAGCTATATCCGAGTGGGAGATGGGGCCCGGAGCTAACAAGGATGGGGAAAGAGCAGAGTAAACCCAAGCTGTACCAACGATGCTGCACTACAGTAGAGGCTCGACCACAAGAGAAATTCCACGAGAAACCCAACTCGGATCTGATACCCCCAAGACGTATATGAATGCTGTGGCGTGGGAGCGCCGCCGCGCTCTCCATAGCAAAAGCCATCGAAACCCCAAAAACCGAGGGAACCCTGACGACAAGCGGTGTGAGTCTCGATGAAACGTCTAGTGTGGGAACGTCACGTTTTCCATCACAAAGCCATCGACACCCCTAAAATACCCTAGGCACCCTGGTGGCAACCAGGGTGCATCAAAACCTGGACTTCCAACGTGTGCCCTCGTCCATGCGAACATAAATCTGCGTTGCGCGACCCCCCGCACCCCCTAGAACACGATACCTGATTGGTTTCCCCCGGGGCCGCAAGCGAGCCGAGGAGGGGGGAGGAGGAACGGGAAGAGGGGGAGGAGGCGGAGGCGGGGGAGGGGGGAAGGATATGGACGGGGAGGAGGAAGGAGGATGGGGGCGGAGGAGGAGGAGGAGGAGGAGGAGGAGGAGGAGGAGGAGGAGGAGGAGGAGGAGGAGGAGGAGGAGGAGGAGGGGGGGGGCAGGAGGAGGAGAGGAGGAGGAGGAGGAGGCGGAGGAGGAGGAGGAAGAGGCGGAGGAGGAGGAGGAGGAGGAGGAGGAGGAGGAAGAGGAGGAAATGCGGACGACGGCCGCGTGCCTGGGGGCGCGAGCCGAGCCGCGCGGCCCCTGGTCGCCCGCGCGCCCCGCGCGGGCACGGGTATCCTGCGCCTTCAGCGGCGTGCTCAAGACCCCCGACCACGGGGGCCCTGCGCCTCCAGCGGCGGGATCCAGGCCCCCGACCGCGAGGTCGCACGCGACCTGCTCGCCGTAGCCGTCGGGCCTCCCCCACCGCCCGCGCAGTGGATCTTCACGTCGTCCAAGTAGTAGGACTGCTGGAACCTCTGCGACTCGAAAAAGTCGCCCATGGGGAAGAAGTCGAAACGCACGGCCTCGATGTGCTGGACGACCTCCGCCATCTCTACGCCATCCCAGAAAACCAGGTTGAAGACCTTCTAAGTCTCCGACACCTCCGCCTCCACCGTCTCGGAATCGCCCGATTCCGAGTGCGACCCCTCCTTGTCGAAATTTTCCACGCCGACGGAGAACATCTGCGCCCTCCTCTGCGCGAGCGGCTGCGCCGCCCGCCCGCGCTGAGCACCAGGGAGGTCGAGAGAGGACTCGACCCACAGCTGGCACTCCACCACCTCGGACTCCGCCGCCACGCAGATGTCGGACACCTGCTTCTGCAGCGACGCCACCTTCGCCGACCCATCATCGTGGCAGCGCTCCACGACGACCTTCGGATCCTCCTCGACCTTATCCTTCAACACGTGCTTCTGGACATCGGCCTTGTGCCCGTCCGCGCGCGCGCAGTCGCCCGCGCCCAGCTGCTCCAGCAGGACGTCGACCGTGCTGCGGCTGGCAAGCACGAGCGGCGCGGCCTCACCCCGCAATGGGAAGACCTGCGCCCTCAGCTGAACCTCGAGGTCGCTGGCGTTGACGCCGAACGCCCGCGACAGGGCCCTGCCAGCCGCCCCTGGTGGTGGCGCGTGCCTCGCCTGGCTGCCCAGCGCCAGCGCCTCCTCCGCCGGCTTCACCACCGCGCTTGGGCAACCCAGGAGGCGGGCGCCAGCCCTTCGCCGAACGACGAAGCGAAGTGGCAGCCGAGCATGTCTCCGGTGCGCCAGTGCGCGTCCAGCGCCACGCGAAGCGCCTGCACCCGCCGCGCCAGGGCTTCTGCGCGAGAGGAGCCCATCTCCTCGCGGCGCCACCTGCGGAGGCGCCTGGCGAGGGACCGCGCGCTCGCGGCTGCCCAAGCCCAGCCGCCGCCGGCGCCGCCGCCGCCCGACATGGCCACTTGCGCGCCCGAGCGCGCCCGGGCGCGCGGAGGAGGGGGAGGAGGAGGAGGAGGAGGAGGAGGAGGAGGAGAAGGAGCGAACGAACCCCTGGGAGAGGCGCGTCGATCTATAATGAGCGCGCACCGCCGTGCGCGCTCGGGCCCAGCCTCAGGGCGAGGCGAGAGGCCTGCATGTAGTTCTTGTGGATGTTGTACTCGTTGTCGCCGCTGCCGTCGATCTTGATCGAGTGGTAAAACCTGTAGAAAACGGCGAGACGGATGAGCACGTGGTCGATCTTGTCGTCCTCGGCCCCGTTCGGGTCGAAATTGGCGTCGTGCAGGCCAAGCCTGGCAAGTACGCATCCATGAAGTCGTCCACGAGGCATTGCAGCGTGGTGCCACAAGCGCTTGCAGACCAAATAGTGGCTGAAGGAGTCGGGGTGAAACTTTGGGTTGCAGCCAAGAACACAACCTCGAAGGATAGGCTGTACGTGCATGCGGTAAGACGTGGCCCACCCGCCCGATAGCGTCTTCATCGCAGGCCAGAAGCGCGAGGGCGGCAGCTCGGCGATCTTCGGGCGGAGGTGGCTCCACGCGGTCTTCACGTTGAACGGTAACTGGATGAGGGAGGTCATGTCGTTGTCGTCTGCGTACGCGTTGGTGAGGTCGTCAGCGATCACGGGCGTGGAATCCGAGTCGTTGTTCTGGAAGTCGGCGTCGTGGATCCAGCGACGCCGAGCATGGTGTTCGGCAGCTGCACGATCGAACCTCTGCTGTAATTCGGCGGTACGGGGGAGATTGAACGCAGCGGTGGTCTGGAGTCTGGATGCCGCGGTTGACTGCCATGCCTGCGTGCAAATACGTTCAGCACGCCGACGGAGTTGTGCATCTGTTTGGCCACGAAAGAGGACTTGAAAACCGCCACGACGGAGATGACGAAGAATAAAGGTTTCGCACCATTCATGCCAGTCGTCGACGTCCCATTCATGAGGTGGTTGAGCGAGGTAAATCGAGGGAAGCCAGTCGGAGGCCCAATGCTGCAGGCATTCAGCGATGGTCTCGAGCTCGTTGGCTGCGTTTCGCATGTCGCGGTCATCCTCATCAGGCGTATTAGGAACTTGTAGATGAAGTAGTGAGAATCGTTGGAGGCGTCGTGAGTCGGAAATGGTAGCAGACGGCGCCGACGGGAGGGTGGGGAACCAGGCCCGAAGGCGGGCGGCGATGGTGGAGTCGAAAGAATCTTCGTAGAGCGAGCGCTGAAGCGTGATCATGTATGTGGTTTGCGGTGGTTTCTTTGGAGGATCATCATCAGCGCGGTGAAGTTTGTCCAGGACACGGAGAGCAGCGTCACGGGCGAGTTCATGAGCTTGGCGTAGCTGACGGTGAGCCAGATGATCGTGATGGCGGCTGCGCTTGATGATCTTGAAGATGGTGCCCTTGTGGGTGGAGTAGTTGTCGCCGAACTTGGCCGCCCGCAGGTGCTGCGCGATCGAGGTAGCGGAGGCCCAGCACGGCGCGGTCCAGAGTCCCTGGACAACTCGGACGAGTGGAAGCTGATCAAGTGCTGCCAGATGGTGTAGTTCGAGAAGCTGGGGCCAGGCGTTGATGGTGGAAGTAGCAGATCGCCACAGCGTGGCAGCAAGCAGGACTTCGACACCAATGGGGATGGCGCAGCCCGCCCAGTTCGTCATGCCGAGGATGTCACGCGTGGTGAATGCAGACGTAGCAGATCTGATAACTTTATGAAGGGCATGGATTTCTTTGGAAAGAATAAAAAGTTCTGGAGCTGGCAGTAGTTGTCCGACATAGGTGAGGCAAGTGATCGCGGAGGTGTTGTACAGCGAGACGTTCAGCTGGATGGCCGCGGAGGCGTCGCCCAAAATCTGGGTACGGTGGTACCACTTGGCCGCAGGGGCGGCCCATTGAGCACGATCATCAGCACACGGACCGATTTAGACTCCGAGGTACTTGGCCTTGCCGTCGATCTTGAACTGGGCCCAGGCGGGGTTGATCGTCCTGAGCATGTCGCGCATGGTGTTGGCAACGTCTTCGAAGCAGTTGGTCCAGACTGGGACGAGCACGCACTGTCGAGGTTGGAGCAACAGCCCCGCGAAAGAGTGGGCCGCCTCGGTATGCGGTAGGATGCCTTGCATGTCACGCAAGTGTGCTAAGACGCAACCAATGTCGTCGGCACAAGCACTGGCCATGCCACGGCCAATCTGATGAAAGTGGTGTTGAATTCCGCGTAGGATGGGGTCGAACACCAGGGCCCAGATGGTGCCACTGAGCGGGCAGCCCTGAGCTACTCCGCTGGCTGCAACGAGTAATGGTCGACGTGTGCCTCCCAGCTCGAGGAAGGCGATGGGCGAGGTGTAGAAGGACTGGAGGAGGCGACGGACGCGGCCATCGATCCTCCATCTGCGAATCACTTCCCATAACCAAGTGTGAAGCAAGCTTGGGAAGGCGGCGGCGATGTCCATGCTGAGGAAGCACGGCATGTGCTCGGCGGCGTTGTCCATGGTGCTGTAAAAGCGGCTGTACGTGTCGGCGTCGACTATGTTGTTGAGGAATTGGCGGCCAGGCGCGAAACTTGTTGGATACTCGACATTTGCTTGACTATCGGAGGCAGCTTGCGGTTGATGGCGGAGGCAACCATCTTTACGCCGGTGTTCTTCATCGCGAGAGGTCGGAGTTGGTCTGGCGACCGATAGCATTCAGCATGCCCTGCAGGCGCATCACCTTTTGGTAACGTGGCTAGTAGAGCGCGGTTCCAATCGTGCGGGATGATGTTGTTGGCCGAGATGTTAGCCACGAGCTCTTCCAGGATCTCGAAACTGTTGGGGGTGGAAGTCCAAGCTTTGCAAGGAAGACCGTCTGGACCTGCGGCGGAGTCATGTGCTCGTTTTGCTGCTTCTTGAAGCTCTTCTGCATTGGGGAGTTCCAGCGCAACAAAGTCACGCTGGGCGAAGACAGAGTCCAGGTAGGCGTTCATGTTGGCAGTGTTTACTGGCTTGTCAGCGAAGATCGGGCCCCAGTGCGCTAGTATAGCGTCATGCATGTCCGACGGTGTCTCGGCGATGCCTGAGGAGTTGCCTTGCGAGATTCGGATGCCAGCGAGCACCGGACGCTTGGAGAAGGGCTTCCACAGCTCACCAAGACTGCGCGTGGCACTGGCCAGTTTCCGCCACCTGTTCCCTTGTTGACGTTGTAGACGCTGGTAAGCATCACGAGCACGTGCGGCAGCGAGGGCACGACGTTCTTCAGCGACAGCAGCATGAGCTTCAGCAGCGGCATCGGCGAAGGCGTTGGCGTTGAAAAGGCAAACCTTGCTCGAAGGGATGTCGGTAGAGTTGTCGATGATGATCTGCAAGTGCATGGAGCCCAGGTGGGCGGTGTCGATAAAGAGGCGCGCGAGCTTGATGTCCTGGAACCAGACCGCGCGAGAGATGCTTCTCATGGTCATCGAGTTGACTTCCTTGGAGATCGAGAGATGGTCGCGTGCCAAGACTTCAGGCGGTAGCCGCGCGAGAGCATCTCGCGTGGCTTTCGCAGCGTTCGTCATGTTGGATTTCAGCGTGCGCCACTTGATGATGGGCGTGAGCGTGTCGTACTCGGTGTCGGCAGAGAGCTTGTCGATGAAGAACTTGTAGAAGTCGGAGTTGAAGAGGTAGGCGGGGATGCCTCGTTCAGCATGGGGCCGTTGGATTCGGGGGCGAAATCGAACATGAAGAAGTTTATGGTCACTGGCAGGTATTCCTTTTCGTTCGAGCGGCGAGTCGTCGGCCACCATGATCGTCTCAATATGGGTGAGATTATGTGCCTGGAAGGAGGTGAAGAAGCGATCGATGCTTGACTCAGTGTTGTTCGCGTAGCAGCGGTGGGTGGTGGATGGCGTGCAGATCTCGACCATTGGTCGGAAGAGCTCCTTCCAGAAGGTGGGCTGGAACTGGTATCGTTCGTGAGCTGGCACTTCGACAGGGCGTAGTAGATTGCGAGCAGGTAGTTCAGAAATATTGGAGTCGCCGAGCATGAAGAACATCACGTGTTCAGGATCGCAGTTTGCTTCATTCAGTGCCACTTGCCACGTGGCCTCAAGCCGTCTTCGGTCATCAGCGGAGAGGTCATAGTTATGAATGTTGAGGTAGATATGGAGGTACTTCAGGCTGGGGTCGCGGATTCGCAGTTCGGCGACTCGGCCAGGGATGACCGCGGAGAAGTTGGTCATCGGCTTGGTGTTGTCCTGGTCGCTGCTGGGGATGAACTTTGGGATGAGGAAGGCGACGCCGCCCGCCGCATTGGAGTCGGGGATGCCGCTGTGGTAGACCTCGTACTTTGCGCCCGTGGAGTTGATGAGGCTGTGAATCATATGCGAGGTGCCGTGAGTCTCCTGAATGGCAATGAGGGGTCGCTTGGCGAGGTAGGGCTTGAGGATGGAGAGTTTGGCGTCGCGCTTGACGATGTTCGAGTGCACCAGCGCCTGCGCGTTCCAGCTGACAACCGAGCACTCAATCATAGATGACGTGGTAGTCGCGCTCCATGGAGTCCATTTGCTGTTAAATCCACGACACTGATGTGGTTGCATCCGCGAAGGCAGCGGCAAGGGCGTCGGCGCGCGAAGATCGCATCGCAGAGGTAAGGCCGACACCATCAGCAGCATCAGACCATTGAATCTTGGTCGCCATCTCAGGGCGGGAGCCCACTTGGATGCGGACGATGGGCACGTTGTCGATGGAGAGGTAGCCATCGGCGCGGTGGATCGTGGGGTTGAGGTCCTGCTTGGCGTTGGTGACGATCCTTGCCAGCTTCTTGAGCTGGATCTCCTGCCTGACGAGCTTGGGGCTCATGTCTGCGCTGACGTAGCATGGAGCACCGCCGATCGTGAAAGTACGCCATTCCCGACCAATGCGCAGATGCTGGTGAAGAGCTTGAGCACGTGGTACGGCGACGGCATCGGCTCCGAGTACAATGATGGAGACCCGCTTGGCAGGAGCGGAGTTGTTGTAGCGAACCATAGACACGTCGATATTGGCTGCCGAAAACCAATCGGCGATGGTCGACTTGAGAGATGCCTGTGTGATGTCCACAGTGGAGGCGATCCAAAAGGTGCCGATGTGTGGCGCCCTGTCCCACGAGCCGATGTTGCTGACGTCGAGCGATGGAACTTGGGCTTCAGCACGAGCAACGGCAGTCTTGATCTTGTCCACCGCGTCGTTGAGGTTCTTGGACTCCACTTCAGAGGCGGAGATGCGCTGCTTGAGGGAGACGATGTCGTTCTCGACGTGGTCTTGGCGCTCGGTGAGCTTGGCAGTGATGTTAGTGATGTGCGTGATGAAGCTGGCTTGAGACGAGGCGGCAACCTTCTCTGCGGTAGCCTTGAATTGTTCAGCCGCGTCATCAACTTGAATGGCCAGGTGTTTCTCGATCTCGGAGCGGAATAGTTCAAGTCTTTCCTTTTGTGCAGCATCTTGCCAGGGGTCTTTGTTGTTACGAGGGCTTCGTTCGCGCCGATCACGAATGGTGGCGAGGTCGCTCGTCTCGGGCATGTTGCGAGCACGTCGTAGACCACTGGGTCTGGATTCTCGAACGCCAATATGGAGGTGGCCGCGGCACCACAAGCAGTCAATCCCGCGTGAATATGTAAGGAGAACGAAAAACAATCCTGAGCTGGCCCTGGAACAAGGGTATGCCATGAAAGCCTCTTGGCGCTATGCCAAGCAACATTGGGACCTTGAGCCAAAATGGCTACGGAGGAGGAGGAGGAGAAGGAGGAGGAGGAGGAGGAGGACAGGTCGCCTAAGCCCTTCGGAGGAACCCTCACTACGGTCTGACCGTGTGGGCAGCGATCTCCGCTGCGCGAAGGGCCCCCCGGCGCCTCCGCGAGGGACGAGCGCCACGGGGGCCCGCACGTCTGGTTTTTGTTGGAGGGAACTCCGTTTTGGAAGGAGCCGCCCTCTGCCCTTTGAGCCATATTGAGGTCGGGCCTGTCCCCCTACAGTGGGATTTAGGGCGACACTTTTTCCCCCAAAAACATGCTCCCAAATGGTCAATACATAATCAGAAGATCGTCCCCCGACCAATTGTTGCTTATTTTGGAGCCGCCCTCCGCCCATTGAGCTATATTGGGACGCGCAGGGAAATACTAATACTATATGTCCTCCTTGGAGGCGCGCGCGTCCGACCCGAACATACAAAATACCCATCTTGTAGTAGATTGTTCCCCGAGCGGTGTGGCCAGAAAGCGCCCAGCACGACGCATATACGAGAAGATTTCTCGGTGCGCGTCGCCCCTTGGAAGACAACGCACCTATAGTATAAGTAGATTGGGGTGACGCCGATATATGGGACACGCGGAGACGTCATTGCACCAGCCTTGCAGACGCGCCGCAGCGGATTTCTGCGTGGACTTCTGCGTGGATGTCTTCCCGAAGCGGCGAGCGAAAAACGAAGCGAATTTCGCGTGGGTTCCTTTTGGTCTTCATTCCTGGCCGAAAACATCCGAACGAAATTAACCTCGGAATCCGGAACGAAATTCTCCAGAACACCCCGGGCCCACCCTATCGTTTTCCGAGCTATATCCGCTCTGCGATGTTGGCGCCATGAGAGACGTACTGCAGTGGAGGCCAGTCCACGAGAAACCTTCCACAGGACACCCAACCCTGAGGCCCCAGGGCGTCCACTGAGTTTTGGTGGGGGGACGTCACGCTTCCCATAGCGAAACCGTCGAAACCAAAGAAAATCAGGGCACCCTGGATGCAAGCAGGCTGATTCTTGGCATGGGCCCCCACTGTATGCCCTCCTCGGCGGCGTGTGTCCGAGTCGAACATCAAATAGAACCATATTGTTATGTATCCTTTCCCGAGCGGTACGGCCACGAAGCGTCCGCCACGACGCATACACTAGAAGACTTCTCGGTGCGCGCGTCGACCCTGGGAGGGCGACGCACGCATAATATCAGCATGTTGGGGTGCCGTCGAACATGGGGAGTGTGCCAAGTCGGAATTGAGCAAGTCAAGGCAGCGCCCCGCGACAGCACCGCTCTGGAAAGGATTCGCCCTGCATCCATATAGTTGTGGTACACATGTCAACGCCCAGTGCTCAACCTAACGAAGACCTAAGCGAGACTCCCATATTGAAAAAGAGCCGCCCTCAATCCGCGTATATGTTCCACGTTCTTACACTCAGGGTAGCGATGTGTGAAGAAGTCTTCACCGAGAGACCACTGTTGAAAACTCCAAGGATAAACCACCACCCCATGCGTGTAACTTCTGGAAGCCTCGAGAACAAAAATGCGCCGCGCTAGGGCGAAAGCCACATGTTGAAAACGGACTTGGCTCCGTCAGAAGACCTGTGAATTTGTCAGGACGAGTGTGAGCGGCGCTTTGGCGAGACCTGATTTTGAACAAGTGCAACCCTCCATCTCTGTGTGTTCGACCTTCCATGCTTCAGAATCATACGTTTTAGGGAACTCACAGGCGAAACGCTCGGCCCGGCCAGCGCAGTTACGGGCAGGGTGGAAACGAGAAAGAATGAGGGGGGGGCAGGATGAGAGGGAGAAAGGGGGAAGAGGAGAGATGGAAGCATGGGTGTGTGTGTGTGTGTGTGTGTGCGTAGAGGAAGACACAGCTGCATCAGCAGAAACTCTCGAAGCTTCGCGCGGATTCCTTGGATCGGCGCCGAGACCCCCCCTCTGGCTCGCAGGAGCGCGCCAGCGGGCGGCGCCGGAGGCGCCGCCAGGGAGAGGACCAGCGCCGACCCTAGAACTCCGCCAGGACTCCGAACAACTAGAATAAACTCGGGCCTGTCCTCCTACAGGGGGATTTGAGGCGACACAATAAAAACAAACACTCCAACAATGCCCCCAGGTGGTCAAAATAGTTAAAACATCGTCACGGGACTATTGTTTGACTATTTTGGCATATCCCCCCTGTAGAGGAACAAGGCCGAAGTGATACCAGAAGCCTGCTCCACTGCCATGTGAGCGGCGAAGGAGCACGGGCCTCACGCGACAGAGCGTCGTGGCCTCACGCCGCAGCCTGCGCGAGCCGCAGGCGTGGCACATCCGCGTGGAGAGGAGGGACGCTCACGCGCGACCTCGCGGGGGAAGCCTGCGCCTCGAATGTCGGTCGTTCAGTTGGCGTCCTCTTCTTCCAGTTTCCCACCTGGAGAGCCGAGGGACAGGGAGGGGGAGGGGGAGGGAAGATGTGGAGGAGAAGGGGGACGCGGAAGGAGGAGGCGGAGGAAGATCTCCTGATGCCCCTCCGCGCCCACCTGCCCCTCCTCTTCCTCTCACCTCCTCCTTCCTCTTTCCTTCTCCACCAGCCTTCTGTCTTTCCAACACCAGAGAAGCCAGATGGAGAGCAGCGTGGTCGGGAGCGGCGCCGTCTGCTTGGTCTTCCACTTCGCCTCGACGAGTTCATCCTTCCAGGCGCGAAAGGTTGCGGCCTTGAAGGTCTTGCTGTCTCCTGCAGCGATAGTTTCGTTGCTCTTCCTCCTCCTCCGCCTCATCCCCGCGTTGTCCTCTGGCTCCTTGTGTTGCTCGCGATCGTACTTCAACTCATCCTGCGCAAGAAACTGCCCCTGCTCATGCTCTCCATCGCCTCTGCTCTGCGGACGGGAGCGCTGCTCCTCACCGTGTCGCGTCGGCGGCCCTGGCCAAAACGCCAAGGCACCGCTCCGCGGGGAGCGGCGCTGAACAACAGGCGCGGGGCGCTGATGCCAGGGGACTGGGACGTGGCCAGCGTGTCGCTCCGAAGCGTGGCGGGCCAGAAGCGACGGCATTCCACGCCCAGCAAGCGCTCCCGATCGTCCTTCTGCCCTCGTGGTGGTGGGGGGCTACATCTAAGTCGGGCCTGTCCCTCTACAGGAGGATCAGTCAAAAGTATTAGAAATTTCGTCTGGGGACGATGTTCTAAAGATTCTTGAATGTTTGGGAGTATTGTTTGACTTATACTCTTCGTCCAAAATCAGCCTATGGGAGGACACGCCCGACCAAAGGCCATATTGACACATGCTCTCACTCCTCTCGGCTTCGCCCTGGCGTAACCCCTAACAGGGCGGTTCCCCCGAACAGACCCAGAGCGAGGGCACAACGTCGGCCCGTGTCCTTTCAACATAGGTTTGCGTCTAGTCCCCTCCCCCTCCTCCTACTCCTCCCCCTCCTCCTCCTCCTCCTCCTCCTTCTCCTCCTCCTCCCCGTCCCTTGATGCCTCTGCGCATCCGTCTCCCCCCTGCCTCCCTTCACCTTTCTCCCTCAACCCACTTCCTCCCCTATGACCCCTCTAAAGATTCGTCCTCCTGCTGCTGCTGCTCATGGCTCCCGCATCACACGCCTTCCTCTCTCATCCCTCCCTGTCTCTCTTACTCCCTGTCCTCCGCTCAATTCCGGGCCGTGTTCGGCAATGCTCCTTTCAGCGTCAAGAGTACCCGGTCCCTCTGCCTGTCCCTGAAGCGCTGCTGGTGCTGCGCGACGCAGGGAAAGCGACAGGGACGTCTGCAACAAGGATCAGGCGGGCACATGACGCAAAACAGCGCGCGAGAGGGATCAGAGGCCAGAGCGGCGGAGGGAGGAGAGACGTCGGGTGGGGGCAGGAGGTAGAAGCGAGGAATGGACTGAGGAGGGAGGAGTGTGAGGAGGAGAGGGGTTGCGGATTGATGCTATGGGCGAGATCGGGGAGCAAGGAAATAATAATCACGTAATGAGGCTGCGCACGTGAGGGAGTGGCCGAAGGAGACGGTCGGATAGAAAAGGAAAGGGAATATGGATGGCACGAGGAGAGAGGAGGAACCCTCGAAGGAACTTGTGAATCTGGATGGTGGTCGCAAAAGAATAACCAGCACCCGTTGCTTCGTCCGCAACCAGCGCTGACTTCTCCCCATGAAAACTGTGTTTGAATGCAATGTGGTGCGAGCTGGCAATACGATGCCACCGGAGCAGTTTCGAAGCGGAGGGACAACCGGGGGATGACATTCGGGGCCATGATCTGATCCCACAAAAAGATTGGCTGGAGTATCTCCCCATTTCATTTCGGAGCTATCCCTCAATAGCTGTTCACATGCTTTCATTCAGCAGCCGATGCAGTCCGATTGGAAGGCGATTATTTGCGAGCAAGCTGTGATCAAGCTCGGGCATTCAAATTCGAATATTGATGCAAATTGTGCCAAGTCCGTGCTCGCCAATCAACATCCCACCAAACAGGAAGACGGTTGCCTGCTCACATGTTTAATGCAGGGCTGGTGGACCAAGGCGCGTGCAAGCGATGCAGGCTACGACGTTAGTTGCGAATGCAGTTGCGGCGCACCCTCCGACTGCATCCACCATCGAGTTTGTGATTGCTTGGTCTCGCAACCAGAGGGCGACCACTTTGTGAGCGCAGACGATCTCGAGTTGCTTCAGGATCACTACAGAGACGCCTTGACCGGGGAAGGGTTGCAGACGGATCCCGACTTGAATGTGAACCCTCCCCTGGGCACTGGAGTCGAACAGCTCGATTTGTGGCGCAGACACCACAGCATCAGCACGCATGAGGCTTCATGTAGCCACAGCTTTGCCGACGAAGGTTGCGAGCCCAGTGTGCACACCGCCTACAGAGGTGCATGGTTCGCTGTCGTGGCTGTTAGTGGAGAGGAAGTGTTCGCAACGTTCAAGGGTAAAATCGGTAGCCTGTTCAAGCGTCTGAAGCCAGCGCATCTCGCTGCGATTGCTGCTCGCCGTGCTACCTCTCGCCTCCCACGTTCACACAGACTACCAACCTACAATTAAGCTGCACTCCCAGTCCAGTTTGTCTAAACAGAACAATATGTCTGGAACATACGAACGTTTAAGATGGAGCCTATGTGTACTCCCCTGGTGCGGTCCTGGTTACAATCAAGCCTAACCGAAACCTCCACGGGGAATCCAAGAACCCCCCAGGAGAGGGACACCGCCATAGGCAACGACGCGGCAACACGACCGCGAAGCAGAGCCCAGCCCTTTTCGGGCGTTGGCAGAACTGGGTTTAATGGGACCTGGTTTAAAGATGTGTACCGGGGGACGCCCCCCCCGCCCCGTTCCGCTAACCGGAACTGCCGCCATCCGAAGAAACACAGGCTGCGGCAGACCTGGTTCAGTGACCCTGGCCAATTGAAGAGCTCGAGGGCCCTACCACTAACCGGGTCCCCTTACTTGGGGTCCTGGCCATACTCGATTTTTTGCAGACCAAGCGAGGCCGAACTTCAGCTTCACAAGTCTGATACAACTTGAGCAGGGACCGACCGTTCCGGTGTATAGATTTATATATATATATATATATATATATATATATGTATACATATATATATAGGCCTACCACGAAATCTTCTTAGAACCCGAAAATTTCTAACAAAAACAAAGTTCTTAGAACATAAACCTGATGTGCTAAAGCAAGACAGCCCCGGCCAGACATGTTCTCGAAACATTTCGTGCAGGCCACAACAAGGTCTTAGAACATTGTTCGGTAGGCCAAAAGGCACGCCAGGACGCTTCGCCCCTGTTTGAACTAAGCTGCTTCGCAGATCCCTGAAAAAACTTGCCACTGTCCTGCCTCGTTGGCTGGCCCTCGATGCGAATAAGAGGAAGAAAGACTGCTTCCGCTTCCGACCTACGTGCGGGACTCAAGGGACCGTTCCTCCGAGCCTCCTCCTCCTCCTCCTCCTCCTCCAACTGGGAGTCTGCTAGAAACTGGTGGCTATGTACTGTGTACAGAGTCCGTGCTAAATCAGCCAGCCACCAGATAGCCAGAGCTAACGAACAGTGGCCTGGGTACCGTATGAGGCCATGGTCGCCCTTGCGGGGAACACCATGGGACGCAACCGGCTCTGACTCGAATATCTTGACAGGCCGCATCCTCAGTGGGAGATGTGGTGCCTACACAGAGCGCGGATCTGGCCTGACTGGAGAGTGCAGGCTGCGCACCACAGAACAGTGGAGCGCCCTCGCGTCTTGTCCAAGCCCTGGACCTTCAACACCTCAAGACAGGAACGAACTCTCCAATGATTTTCAGGCCACCCGTCCCCTGGCACAAATCTGTCGCCAGGCTACTCGACAAGTCTGCGCCCGCGCCTAAGGTGCGCATCCAAGGTCGCAGGCCACCGATGGGGAAAGCCGAATGCCCTCCCGTCGCCGCGATGGGGTAGTCGCAGGAGATCGTTACGTTAACTGATCATCATAGCCGGGCGCTGGTCCTCCGTGTCCTGTTCGTTTTTGGTCATTTTCTTCCTTTTCAGCGTCTTCCCTTGTCGTCTTTCTCCTCTCCTCTCTCCTCCTTCCTCCTCCTCCTCCTCCTCCTCCTTCCTCCTCCTCCTCCTCCTCCTCCTCTTTCTCCTCCTCCTACTCCTGCTGCCGCGTCGGGCGGCAGCATCACCAACTCACCCCCAGCCGTGCGATCGTCGTCGTCCTCTCTTCCTCTTCTATCCTCTTACTCCGCCGCCGCATCCACGACCCGCTCCTGCGCAAAACAAAAGCTACATCGAAACCCGCCAGCCGAGATGGCACCAGGCGTAACACTAAACAACATGCCAACTCAAAATGTACGACCGTCGTGCTCCCACTGCTGCCACTCGTAACAATAATTGTACTCACTCGTGTTCCTGGTCGTCGTCTCATCTTCGTATCTGACTATTCCTCAATACCAGAGCAGAGGAAGCCGCCGAGCGCGACTGGGGTGGAACGCTCCAACCTCGCCGCCGTTGTGTCCTCAATTCGGTCGCCAGCAAAGCGGCATGGACCCGAATGGTTCGTCTGGCCGTGCCCCCACGAAGCAATGGCAATACTGCCAGGGCGATTCAATGAGTGGTGTCTGTTGGGGCTTCAATGGGGGGCCTAATAAACACCCGATCCGATTCCGAGACCAAGGGCAAAACTGCCACATAAGCATTGGACGGCTATTGGTTCGTTCACGCACAATGTTTTGCGCACATGCGGCCATCTGCTGTTCACGGTCGGGTTGTTGGTCCGATGCTGGGCACATTCAGGGTTAGGTGAAGCTAGGCAATAAGGATACCACGGCAGATGATGATCTATGATTGAAGGCGCCAGAGTCGCGGGGCCCCCAATGGGCACAGATTTGGGACTCACGATGCTCCATCGGGTGCGAAGTCGTGCTTCACTGAGACCAAGAAGGGGCCCGAACTAAAAAGGGGAGTTCAGGCGGGTCAGATTTCGACCAGAAAAGGGAAACATCGGGTTGGAGGGATGGTGCAGGAAGGAGGAGACGCGCCGAATCACACCACTCCGTTTCTGCTCCTTTTCCTTCCCCGCCTTCCTCCTCCGCCTCCTCCTCCCCTCCATTCCTCTTCCGTATGAAAAACTCAGCCCTGTTGCACCGCAGTCGGAAGGGATGGCCGGGCGTTTCGCCTGAGACGTCCTTGCCACTTATGGGCCTCAAGCTGAACAACTGGCAACAGTTTCGCACATGGAGGGCGGGTCGCTTCCAAAATGCGGCTCTCGCCTTAGCATCGCGCACATTCTATTTAAACATTTGAAAACGGCTGCAGGGGCTTGACGGATTGACCGCAGATCGTTTACAACATGTGGCTCTCGCCTTAGCGCCGCGCGCGTTCGTTTCAAACATCCGCCAGGGCTTCACGGATTGAGGGCGGCTGGTCCTCAAAATGTGGCTCTCGCCTTAACGCCGCTTATGTTCGTGTTGGCTTCAAACAAATGCAAGGGCTTCACATATTGAACGCGGGTCGTTAACAACTTGTGTCCCTTGTTTAGAGCCGCGTGCACTCGTTTAAACATGTGCAATAATTTCACGGATTGGGGGCGGCTCGTTTTCAAAATGCGGCTCTCTCTTGAAATAATTACAATGTTTTTGCGGACTGAGTGCGGATCGTTTTCAAATTGTGGTTCTCGCCTTCGCGCCGCGCACGCTGGCGCCAAACATTTGCAAGCGTTTTACGTATTGGGGGCGGCTCGTTCTCAACATGTGGCTCTCGCCTCAGCGCCCCGCACATTCGTTGTAAAACTTTGCAAGCGGTTCACTGTGTTCCACAATTACCGTACCAGAGGCTTTTTTAGAACGGTTCAAGATTGTCAGAGCGCAACACTTGCATATATTGGCAGTGTTGACGTGTTAGGACTGGTGTCCTGGCACGATTCAGGGTCGTCAAGGCACAACAGTCAGGTTGACTCCTGGCGTTGAAGTCCTGAGAAAGGTGTTGTCGTGCGCTTCAGAATTTTCACACGGTTGTCCGCCAACGGGGCACTTCCCTCAATGGAAATGAGCACTTGTAGTGGCCTATGAAAAAACCTTGCAGGGATGGTGTATTCACGGATTGTTGATGAGTCTTGGGTTTACATTGGTCCTGACCCTCCGCTTCCATTTCCTGTTCTCATTGATAAATTCTCTCCGTCGCACCCAGGAGCAAGTGTTTAGGGTGGGCCGGGCATCTCGCCTGAAACTTTTACAATAACAACAGGTTCACGGATTGCAGGCGGGTTGTTTTCAAACTGTGGCTTTCGCCTCAGCGCCGCGCACATGCGTTTTCACAAATTCCGAGAAGCTTCACGGATTGAGAGCAGGTGGTTTTCAGACTGTGGCTCTCGCCTTAGCGCCGCGAACATCCGTTTTCAACGTTTACAAGAGTTTCACGGACTGGGGCGGCTCGTTTTCAAAATGTGGCTCGCGCCCTAGCGCCGAGCACTTTCGCTTTAAACGTTTGCAAGGGTTTCACAAATTGAGGGCGTTTGTTTTTTCAACATGTGGTTCTCGCCTTAGCGCCGAGCGCATTCGCATTAACACGTTGCATCGATTTCACGGATTGCAGGCGGTTCCTTTTCAAAGTGTGGCTCTCGACTCAACGCGGCACTGATCCGTGGCGTTAGAGTCCCGAGAGCATGGTTTTGGCATGCTACAGGGTCTTCAAACGGTTGTCTTCTAATGAGGCAGTTCCCTCAGTGGAAATGAACCGTTGCTGGGGCCTGTGAAGAAAGAATTTGAAGGGGGGGTGTTACAATATCGTTTGATTATCCTTGGGTCTCCACTGGTCCTCCTCCTCTTCCTCCTTCCTTTCCTCCTTCCGTTCCTCCTCCCTTTCCTCCTCCCTTTCCTCCTCCCTTCTCCTCCTCCTCCCTCCTTCCCCTCCTCCTCCTCCTCCCCTCCGTCCCGTGCTTCTTCTCCTCCTCCTCCGCCTCCTCCCTTTATAGATCCTCCTCCTTCTCTCCTCTTTCCTCCCTTTCCTCCCGTGCCTCCTCCTCCTCCTCCTCCTCCTCTTCCTCCTCCTCCTCCTATCTTTCCTCCTCCCCCTCCTCCTCCTCCTCCTCCTCCTCCTCCTCCTCCTCCTCCCCCACCTCCTGCCCTCCAGTTCTGCGCAGCAAAGGAGGAGCAGGGAAGGACGGCAGGCGCAGCCGCCTCCCGCATCTCCGCGACCACCTGCGCCCCAACGGGGATGAGGGAGGGGGGAGGAGTAAGACAAAGCCAGGACGAGGATAACATCGGGTGGGGGTACATCGGGGATCTCTGAGATCCGGCGGTTCCGAGGGATGTATGGAACGCAGCCGCCTTCTCAGAGCGTTCTGGAACGTTCTGGGAGCGTTCTGGAACGCTCTGGCATGGATATGTCCTCGTCCTAGCCCCGCCCTGCTAGGAGGAGGGGCAACAGACGGATGATGCTGGCGATGAGGATTGGTGAACACAAACAAGATCGCTAATATGCCGCCGTGGGGGCACCCGTCAGAGTGCTGACCGTTGAAGACACACCAGGCCCTCGGGCCAAAACGAAGGATCAACACACCGGCGGGCTAAGTACTCACGGCAGCGTGCTGATACTCGGTCTGCCCCCTGAGAGGAGACGGGAGGCGGGGGGAGGGGAAGTAAGAAGGGTGTGAGGAAAGGAGGTCAAGCGGAAGAGTGGAGGGCTGCGTAAGAGGGGGAGGAATGGGATTCAAATGATGACTGTGAAAGTGTGGAGGAGGAGGGGAAGGGGGAGGAGGAGGGGGAGGAGAAGGAGAAGGAGGAGGAGGAGGAGCAGGAGGAGGAGGAGGGGGAGGACAAGGAGGAGGAGGACGAGGAGGAGGAGGGTGAGGAAGGGAAGGGAAGGAGGAGGAGGAGGGGGAGGACGAGGAGGAAGCGGAAGATGGCGAGGAGGAAGGACAAGTGGAAGGGGTAAGATGTCCTCTGGACGGAGGCAGCCCATAAAGAGAGAGAGAGAGAGAGAGACAATGTCACGTAGACATGCTCCAAGAGAGGCCCAGACTACAATCAGCGGAAGGCCTCATTCCCACAGCTCAAGCTCAATCAGGCAGACTCCTGACACCGGCAGCCGAAGAGGGCGGGTCTAGAGGGGACACCACCACCACCACCAGCACCAGCAGTAGGGGAAGTCTGAGGGTTCCTGAAGGTGCCGAGTGGGTGTCCTTGCAGAGGTTGGGAGTTCTTGGGGGGTTCCTTGAGAATGCGTATGCAGGAGGAGCAGCATGGTCGCTCACCAGGCGCCTCCCTACGATCGCACATGAGACAAATCAATCGGACTGTCTCGTCCTTGCTACGGCTCCTCCTGACACCCCTCCTTCTCCTCGTTCTCCGCCTTGCCCTCGTCATGCGGCGCCTCCTCCTCCGCCTCTTCCTACACCTCCTCCTCCTCCTCCTCCGCCTCCTCCTCCTCCTCCGTTACTCTCTGAGGTCCTCTTCGATGGGCCCCCCTGGGTGTTTTTTGTGGACCGTTGGACTTCCTTCCCTCCTTCTTTCCCCTCAATGGCGTGCGATCCGTTACTCTCTGATTCAACACTCATCCCGCGAGCCGCGCTCGGAGCAGCGCACGACGATCCCCACTTTCTCCCCCACCCTCCCCACCCCTCCACCACCCCGTCGGCCTTCGGACCACACAAGTCGGGGCTCTTGATGCCGCTCGGGGCGATCCGGGCCCCCCCCCCAGTGCCCTCGGCGCGGCGCAGCAGCCAGGCAGCGCCCGAGGCTGGAAGACCACTGAAAACCTGCGAACACGTGCGAGGCGCACCGGCCGGAAGGTGGCCCCCAAGCCCTGAGAGCAGCGCCGAGAACCGACGAACACGTCTGAGTACCTTTCCGCCCACCCGCGTCTCCTCCTCCTGCTTTTGCTGCTGCTGCTGCTCCTCCCCCTCCTGCTCCTCCGTCGCCTCCGAGGCCTCGGCGCCGACGTTCCCCCCCCTCTTGCAGCTCGCCCTGGAGAAGGAGGGGGCGGAGGAGGAGGAGGAGGAGGAGGAGGAGGAGGAGGAGGAGTAGGAGTAGGAGGAGGGAGGAGGAGGAGGAAGAGGAGGAGGAGGAGGAGGAGGAGGAGGAGGAGCAAGAGGAGATGAGGAGGACGACGGCAAATACGACGACGAGTTCGGACGAGGGACTAGAGGGGGGGGGGGGGGGAAGAAAGACGACGAAGGAAGAGGGTCACAGGGGCGGCGATGAGCGAGGAGGGGGGGGCACAGGAGTCGGAGGAGAAGGGCCGTGGCGGAGGAGCACGAAGGATGTTCGCCCTCGGGTGATGCTGGCACATCAGGGGCTTCACGGAGACCTCTTCCTCGCCCTGGCCCCGCCGTCCTGCTCCTCCTGCACTCATCCCGACTCCTCCACTGCCCCGCTCCGGAGGTTGAACCCGGCAGCGGGCGGCCGTAGCGGCAGTGGTGCGTAGTGGGAGGAGGAACGCGCTGCCGGCAAAGAGGCGAGGGGTAGAGGCGGCGGGCAAAAGAGACGGCGGCGTTGTGGGCTCCAGAAACGGCAGGGCGACTCTTGTCGGTTTCAAGAAGATCTCTGGGACATGGAACTGGTAAGCCAACGGCTCCTAGAAATGTGGGAAACACGGCCCCTGCACTGGAACCAAATCGAAGCAGAAACAAAAACGTCTGCGACGGAACCAGAAACAACAACCGCGCCGGAGCCGACAAAACCATAAAAGCGCGACACGGAACAGGCAACACAACATGCGAAAGCGGGACCCACGCACCGCCCGAGAGGAGAATAGTGATGCTGATAATGGTAATGAGGAGGATAGTGATGATGATGGTGATGATGATGATGATGATGATGATGTCGATGATGGCGATGGCGATGATGCTGATGCTGATGCTGATGCTGCTGATGATAATGATAGTCATGAAGCTGGTGCTGATGCTGATGATGCTGTTGATGAACATGATGATGATGATGATGATGGTGATGATGATGGTGATGATGTTGATGATACTGATCCTGCTGATGCTGATGCTGATGCTGATTATGATTATGATAATGATAATGATGATGATGATGATGATGATGATGATGATGATGATGATGATGATGATGATGATGATGATGATGATAATGATGATGATGATGGTGATAGGGTCGGGAGCAGACGGCAGCGACTACTGCGACGACCACGCTGCCGCGGCTCTGCCGCCGCCTTCGTCGCACGGGTCTCGAGGAGGCTCTCGAGCCACCTGCGCAAATTGGGCACAATGCCAGCACTGCGGGCACCCGCCGCTCCTCTCTCTCTCCCCACGCCTCCTCCTCCCTATCCCTCCTCTTCCCTCCTCATCCCTCCTTCTGCCCCTCCTCCTCCTCCTCATCCCTCCTCCTCCTCCTCCCCCAAATCCTCCTCCTCCTCCTCCTCCTCCCATCCTCCTTCTCCTCCCTTCTCCTCCTCCTTCTCCTCCTCCTCCTCCTCCTCCTGCTCCCCCTGCTCCTCCACATCTTCCTCACGTCTCCTCATCCTTTCTTCTCCTCCTTTCCCCTGTCCCTGTATCAGCCGTGGTGCCTGCACGATGTGGGCGTGATAGAATGCAAGGTGCTGCTCTATGAGGTTCTGTACTCAAATGAGGGCCCCCCTCCCCCTCCCCCCCCCACATACTACCAGAAAGCGCATGCATACCCCCCGCTCCCGATGCTGTGGTCCCTTGCAGCAGAAACGATGGATCCGCGCTCCCGAGGCCACAGAGACCAATGATACTGCCAAGAGGACCCAAGACGGCCCAGAGCCCAGAATGCCTAAATGCATCCCAAATAGGCCCCAGGGAACTCCCAAGACTGCCTCACAAGGGGCCAAGACAGCCACACAATGACACCAAACCAGGTCCATTCGAATGTTTCAAATAATGGGAACTAAAGGTGTCACGTGTGACGGCCGTCCTCTTCCCCATTCTGCTCCTGCTCCTCCTCCTGCTCCTCCTCCTCCTGCAACTCCTCCTCCTCCTCCTCCTCATCATCATCATCCTCCTCATCATGATCATAATCATAACCATCTGTTCATCACCACCACCGCCACCATCATCAACACCATCACCACCACGACCACCACCAGCATCGCCAACATCACCATCATCACCATTACCACCATCATCAGCATCAGCAGCATCATCACCATCATCATAAGTAACATCATCATCATCATCATCATCATCGTCATCATCATCATCATCAAAACTGTCGCCATCATCACAAAAACATCATCATCCCCATCACCACCATCATCGTCATCATAATAATCATCAGCATCATCATCAGCATCATCATCATAGTCAACATCATCATCAGCAGCAACATCATCATCATTACCACAACCAACATCATCGTCAGCATCGTCGTATTCGGCATAGTAAGCAATACCTGCATCAACGTTAACAATATGATCACCAGTATCATCACCACCACCATCATCACCACCACCACCATAATCTTCGGCTTCACCGATAACACCTCTTCCACCACTATCAGCATCATCATCAAACTCACCATCATCACCACCACCACCACAATCATCATCATCATCATCGTCATCATCATCACCATCATCATCAGGACTCTCCCAAGCCTGGAGACACGAAATGGCATGAGTGACGGCCTCCCGTGCCCCCTCGAACAATCGCAATCCGGAGCGCTGAGATGGCACGGCGGCGGGACTTGCAGCAAACAGCCGGATATACGTCTCTGTTCCCCAACTCTTTAAAGAAGAAGAAGAAGAAGACGCCACATAAACATAAACTTTTGGCGCTCCGCGCGGATTTCTTGGATCTGCGCTGGACCCACCTCTGTTCCCCAAGTACTTCATCCACTCCTTGATACATTCTCCCACTGAATCCGGCGGTGGACAAACCTCCCTTTAGCACACCACCCTTTAAGGAAGCTGGACCCGCAAAATGACGCTCGCGACGCCCTGTCGCGATCCAACGGCCAAATTGGCTAATCGACGTGTCAGTGCAGGAGGCCTATCGACTTCCGAATACCTCTTGCCTCTTCCGCGAGGAACTGGCTCGGGTACAGTCGGACTTGGTTGGACAGGACACGCGAGAGGACACAAGACCCTTTCGAGGGCCACATTGCCACAGGAATGCAGGCATTGGTGACTAGGGGGCCACATGCGAACCCTACCCCTGCCCCCCACACTTTCTGAGGGGGAGGGTGGGGTTCACCCCGCTCGGGAGCTCCCGAGCGAAGTGAACCCCACCCTCCCCCATGGAAATCGTGGGGGATAGGGGTGTTTGGACGCCCGAAATGGGCACGGAAACAATGGGCACAATGCCCAACAGCAAATGTTGTCCCGAACCAACAGCGGCCGCTGTTGGTTCGGGACACGGGCCGCGGCGGCGCGGACAGCGAGCGAGTCCTGTTCAAAATGAAGAGGAACTGCTGTTGGGCATTGTACCCACTCTTTCCGTACCCATTTCGGGCGTCCAGAGGGTAGGGTTCGCGTGTGGCCCCCTGGAGACACGGGACACCCGCGCACCCTTGCTTTGGCAGGGCCGACCTGCCACTCCGGGCCCGCTGCATGCCGGGCGCGCCGCCGGTCGGCACCCGCGGGCGCCAGGGGCGGGGCGCCGCCCGCTCCCGCCCGCCCGCCTCCTCTGTTCTCCTCTTCTCTCCAACCCTCCGCCTCCTCCTCCTCCTCCTCCTCTTCCTCCTCCTCCTCCTCCTCTTCGCTCCTCTTCATATTCCTCTCTTCCTCTTCCTCCTCCTCCTCCTCCTCCTCTTCTTCCTTTCCTCTTCGCTCCTCGTCCTCCTTTCTCCCCTCCTCCTCCTCTCCTCCTTCTCCTCCTGCTTCTCCTCCTCCTCCTCCTACTCCGTCCTGCTCGTCCTCCTGTTCCTCTTCTTTTCCCTCGCAGCTCTCCTCCGCTCCCTCCTGCCCCCCTCCTCCTCCCCCCCCACTCACGCCATTCCCTTTCGTCCTCTTCATGCTCCTTCTCTTCCTGGGGACGTTGCCAACGACCCAACCATGCATCAGTTCGACAAACGAGCGCCAAACAGAAACGATCGATGATGGACCCATATGGCCTCAAACGTTGCGTCTTACGTGCGCTGCGCTCCCACCGCACCTGGAGCCACGGCCGCAACAAGGAGGACCAAGAACGGGAGCCCCCTCGCCGAAGGCCCATTCCCATGAGGCTGTCCAAATCAAGGGGCCCTGGGACACACGCACGTGAATGCACACGCAAATCTCAAGATTCCCCCGATGTTTCCATATTTTCTGAATGTTTCCGTCTTCCCCAGATTTTTCTATATTTTCTGGATATTTCTGGATGTTTTCCATTGTCCATCGGCGTTTCGACATTGGGCGGTAAGGGGGTGGAGGGCGGGGCGGGGCGAGAGCGAACCTCTTCCGGTAAAAGCTAGGCGGGCTACGCACAGCACTAATTGGGGAGACAGAGCGCAGGCGGGCGGGGCCTCAGGCGGCCGGAGGGCGGGCCGGGGTGCAGGCGGCGCCGAGGAGCTTGCACAGGAAAAACACATGAATGCACACGCAAATCCCAAGATTCCCCCGATGTTTCCACATGTTCTGGATTTCTGGCTTCCCCCCCATGGTCCATCGGCGTTTCGACATTGGGGCGGGAAGGTGGGGGGGGAGGGCGGGGCGGGGTCTGGCTCCGGGCCTCTGCTCAGTGGGACTGTCTGGAGCCGTGCGTCCTCTGGGGTAGGGACTCCACCTGCTCGAAGCATGCGCCAGAAGCAGCCAAGATCTACTCCATAGGGGGTGGGGGGAGGGGGGGTGCGAGGGCCCGCGCCGATCGGCACAATGATGAATCAAAATAACAACAGCATGAAGATGCCCAAGAGCATTCAGGATGACCTCAAGCACGAAGAGCACAACAGTACCCCTCTAATGCTAGGGTTCTTCTTGACCTTCGTGTTATGCTGCTCCCACCGTCTCTAAGGACCACATCCCACAAATGATTTCGAGCACCCCGAAAAGTGTCGAAAACTGTCGAAACAGTGTCGAGCGAGTGCCTCCCAGGGCCCGACGCGTGAAAACCCTCGAGTTTCGGCTCTTCCTCAGTGCCCGGAATTCTCTCTGGTGGTCAAGGCTAAAGCAGGTTGGAACATCATAACGTTATGTCGGGCCTGCCCCCCTACAGGGGGGTTTTCGACGACAAATAAAACATACCCAAAGAATATCACAAAAAGGCAAAACAAACTCAACAAATAGTCCCTGGACTACTTTTGAATTATTGTTTGACTATTTTGGGAGGGGCTTTTTTTCCGTCGAAATCCCCCTGTAGGGGGACAAGCCCGACTTTATCATAACGTGAAACATCAACGCGAACCGGCGCAGGGATCCCGACGGGCCCAATGAGCCCAGGGAGGCTCTCAAGCGAGGTGCCGGCCGCCCTGGAACCCTGGGGCCCTCCTTGGGCCCAGGGAGGTTCCAGGCAGGGGGGAGAAGGAGGAAGAGGAGGAGGAGGAGGAGGAGGAGGAGGAGCAGGAGGAGGAGGAGGAGGAAGAGGAGGTTGAGGAGGAGGAAGAGGAGGAAGAGGGGGAGCAGGAGGAGGAGGAGGAGGAGGAGGAGGAGGAAGAGGGGGAGCAGGCGGAGGAGGAGGAGGAGGGGGAGGAGGAGAGGGGGAGGAGGATGAGGAAGAGGAGGTCAACGCCGAAACGCCCGCAAAAGGAGCTGCTGGCTACGACTTGCAAAATCCCCTGCGATTGTAGTATGCCGCACACCCAGACTTCTCGTGGGGCGGGCAGGGGGCATACCCCGAAGCTCTCAGCGGGGCGAGCTCCGAGGTGGCCCCGTTAAGAGAGGCTCGTTGATGAAGACGAGGCCCTTCGGGTCAGTGCGAGGGGAACGGAGGAGGAAGGCAGCCCCTTGGCTCGAGGAGCGGGTCGCCGGTGACATCATACTTGTGTGCGCGTGCATGGTGGCCCAATGCGCTCTAACGGCATCCCCCCTTCAGTCTCCCCTCGCCAGCGCAGACGTCCCCTGCCCAGCCGCCGGCGCAAAAAAGTGTGTGCGTGTGTGCGCAGATGGCCCTTCTCTCCCCATCTGCTGCCATGGTGCATCAGACGAGCGGCGGTCACACCCACGTCCGCGCCCTCGCGATCTGGATTCTGGGGCACGATCCCGCGGTCGCACGCGGAAATTCCACGCGGGGCATCCGCGAATAAAACGCCCCGCATCCGTCGTGTCGCGGCCAGACGGCCAGGCCCGCGAGGCCGCGGATACGGATGTTTC